TCTGACTCTGTGCGTCTACCATCCCCCAATCGAACTCCGAACTTTGACGTGGGTTCTATTTGTTGTTGAACATGAGTAACCAAGTTGCGAGAAATAAAATTATGACTTGCCCCACTGTCAACCATTATAAGGATATCTGTGGTGCCAATCCTTCCCCAGAACTTCATGGTTTTTGGTCCGTCGATACCACCCAATGCTAATAAGGGAAGGTCAAGTAACGAGATGTCAGCAGCATTCCCGGAGAAGTCCTCGTCTAATACATGATCAGACACTACCCCATCATCACCTGCGTCCTCCTCGTCTTCTGCAGCGATTAATGTTCGGAGAGACTTATTTGGACAGACATGCAATGGGCTGTAAGATTGTTGGCAGCGAAAACAAAGCCCTTTTGCTCGCATATCAAGATACTCCCGATTTGTATAGTGGCGACCTGCTTTTTGTGCCGAAGACGAATTGAAGCTAAGAGGAATAGGGGAAGATCGGGACTGAGAGGTAAAAGAGCTGCTGGAGTTTTTATTTGAGTGGTGGGGATGGGTTAAAACTGATTTGGACTGATGGTGAACAGTAGATAAAGAGTGGGCTGGGCTTTGTTTCAAGAGTCCTGTATTACCTCTAAGTGCAGTAATTGAAGACTTCTTCTGAAAAAAATCATCGTTACCTCCTTCCATAATATTCTGCCGAGATATGTGACCTGTTGCGAGAAACTCTAACTCGCGTTCCACAGCCCGGGCTACCTTCATCGCTGTGCGCAAGTCTATCACGTCGTTCGGTCGGAGACGTACTCTAATTGCCGGCTTTAATCCATTAAGGAAAAGTCCCAATTGAATGTGAGGAGCAAGACCTGGAATCTGGGCAACGCGTGCTCTGAATATATTCGCAAACTCATCAATCGTTCCAGTCTGCCGGAGAGCTGCTAGTTGTTCAATAAGAGGGCCAGTTAATTCGCCACCAAATTCCTCCAATAGTTCTGTCGTGAATTGTCTCCACGTGAGCGTGGGGTGTTGCTGTTGCAGCCACCGGAGCCAATGGAGCGCCGGACCTTCCATGCTGATAAAGGCCGTGTGGACTTTCAAGTCCTCACGAGTGAGGTGAATTGCGAAGAATTGTTCTGCTCGTGCCAGCCATCCGATTGGGTTGGTGCCATCAAAGGTAGGGATTTCGATTTTACCAGAAACGAGGGAAGTGTTGTCTGGATAAACCTGTTGAATAGGGGCCGAGGCTGAATTTCCAACGTGTGGATCGCTTTCCACCTGTGGAGGTGTCATAGAAGAAGCACTGCCATCGCCTTGTCCCTTGTTTTGGAGGGTAAGGGCCAAAAGATCTGATATCTTAGCCATTGAAGTTTCCATTGCTGCAAACTTAGCAACGGAGGTTTCCATTGCTGCAAACTTGCTATTCAACGCTGCTAATTCGGTACGTAACTCATCCTGATTCTTCTCTAACGACTCTACGCGAGCATCAGTTCGTGTGTTCGTCATTGAGCGGCAGGTCGGACCACTTTGTTAGAGTAAAGATCAGGGAAAAAGATAACAGAAAGATTAAGTGGTTTATTGAATGGGAAAGGGATATAAGGTTGTCACTAAGACACCCTCCAACAAGAGTACTAGGCTCTTGTCCAGCTATAGCTATGCTAGAACTTCAGAAGATTATTCGATGCCCTCCACTCTTGAGGAGGTTACAATTTATACTGCAATGAAGAAAATAAATATAGTAAAGGGAGAGAATTGAGAAACTGATTTATCTCTGTCAGGTTCCATGATTTAAGCTTGTCCCTTGATCAGTGTGTTAATTGTTTTGATTTGCCTGATTTGCTGTCCAGATTTCCTGATTTCCATTTTTGTGTTGATTCCCTTTTTTGCGTGAGTAAACCACCCATTCTCTTGGGTGTGTATCAGATTCTTTGTATTGCTATAATTGACAGGGACAGTTGTAAAGCATAAAAGAGGAAAGCTTTTGGCTGATCTAGCTTGTCCAGGCCAAGAAATTCTTGTTGCAAGGGGTGGACAAGGAGGGGTAATAATCTGTCTTCTGAACATAATTACAATGCTATGAATGTGATGGTTTGGATATATTCTAGTCCAGGTTGACATGTTGCAGCTTTCTCCCCCATCCAAACCACCAAAAAGAAGCATTAAATATACTAATATAGAAAACATATTTCTACCTTTATTATTCAAGCATACGTTAGAACTTTTAATTTTAGTTTTCAATTTGACTTATCTGCTTTATTTGTGGCAGATTAGCTTGTTAGAAATTCCAGAGTACCAAAGAAAAAGAATGACAAATTTAACCACAAATGTGATGAGAGATGAAAATGATAAGGTAAATATGCAGTCAAAGTTGGTATTTTTGCCCTTAGCTTGTTTGCATGACATCTACTCACTATGTTATAGGTTTTAGTACTTGGTCAGCCTGGAGAGGAGGTGAGCTTGCAGTTAATACTAAGAGTTGTTGCTGATGTTGGTCTTATTGTAAGTATCATTTTTACTAGTATTTTTTTTTTTTTTTTTTCCATTCAACAATGAATTTCATTATTATCTCTCTAGTTTTATCTTTGTATTAAAGTATCTATGGTTCAAGTAACATGATCCATAAGTAATTTGTTTTATTTTATTTTGCTGAACTATCCTTGTAAGATCTGTTTTAGCCTGTTGATTTTGTTGTGAAAATTAGAAAATATGCAATTATGCATGTTTGATTCATACTGGACTGAAAGTGTTAACAGATTTTCATAATTTGCTCTTTCAATATTTCCAGGGACTTCCAAATGCTGGGAAATCAACTCTGTTAGCAGCCATTACACTTGCAAAACCAGAAATAGCTAATTATCCATTCACAACTTTGATGCCAAACCTTGGGCGCCTTGATGGTGACCCGAGCCTAGGGGCAGCAAAGTTTTCCTCTGAAGCAACTCTAGCAGATTTGCCTGGTCTTATTGAAGGTGCTCATTTAGGAAAGGTAATTTGGACTTTTGACTGGTTTCCTTGTTTTTAGATTTGTTTTCATCACACACGTCACAGTTATGTGAAGAAATTCAAATAACTAATCAATGATATTACCATTTTGTAGGGCCTCGGACGCAACTTTCTGAGACACTTGAGGAGGACTCGCATGTTAGTCCATGTCGTTGACGCGGCTGCTGAGGACCCTGTAAATGATTACAGAACAGTAAAAGAAGTATGTTTAACCCTGGCCATCAGTAAAGTTTTGTTTTGTGCTGTGTGGAAAGGACTCATGCCTTCTGCTAATGATTTCTGGCCATAAAATTGAACACCCCTGCTCCTTTCTCTTCCTTTTGCCCCTTGCTGTTGATGAAATTCTGTTGAATATCTCTTCACTACATTCATCTGCAGGAGTTGCGTATGTACAATCCTGATTACCTTGAACGACCATACATTGTTGTTCTGAATAAGATTGATAAACCTGAGGTAAGTTCTATAGTTCTATTTGAAGCTATCAGGTTACACAACAGTGGAATTGATATTAGTTTCTCTAACTCATATACACACATATATGTAAATATACATTGATCATACCAATTGCAGGCAATGCATAGACTTCCTCATATAACCGAAGAGATTTACCGCATTGGGTGCGATAGATTAGCTTCACTGGCTGAACCAAGCTCAGCAGGCGATCAAAACCTCTCTACTAATGAGGATCAAGAGGATGAGCATTCTTCCCAAATCTCTGATAAGGAACAGCGTGTTAAAAAAATTGAAGAGTATCCACGCCCTCTTGCTGTTGTTGGCACCAGTGTTTTGTAAGTTCATCAGTCTCTTTTGCCTGTGACTTGATGGTAGATGGACTACATATCTAAGCATAGCAGAGTATTTCTGCATTTACAGATTTGACTTTTCTGTTTATGGTTTTCTCATGCATTTATGTAGGCATTTCATGGTTTTGAAATCATAATAACTGTCTCTATTTCCCAGTTGAGTGCTTGTTTGCTCCTTTTGAGGCTTATCCACTCCAAAAAGCATAAGCTGGGCCAAAAGCTGAAAATGACCCCAAAAAAAAGGGGGAAACAAAGAAGGGTTTTAATGCTAGATAAGACTATAAGAGTACAGAAGCTTATTTTTTCAAGAAACACTAAATTTAAGGCTTTTTAAAGAAGCCTTGAAAAAAAAAAAAGTGAAGCTTTAAGCTTATGCCAAACAAGCATTTATTCTTTCCTTTGCTTCTCATGCAAACATTGAGTATTAAAATAATCTTCCCATTAATCAAGTGTGTAATACATATATTTATGCTAAGCCTATGTGGCTATGTGTTCTTGACTTCATTTATACGGAGTGTAATTGATAATAAACCATACTGCTTCATTTTGCAACAGCAACATGGTTAGTTGGACATTCTGGTTTATGGCTCTTTCCTCTGTTAGAATTTGAATAGACATAGGATAGGGAGGCTTAAGTTTTTGGGAGAACCAAGCAAAATTACATGCCACCTGAAATTTATGTTCAATGCAACGTTTACATGTCTTCTATTACTTGTCAAATTTCAACTTCAAGTTTTATCACTAGCTGCATTGAGTTTAGTTTTGTATTTGTTGAGGTGTCTCATGTCTGAACTCTGAGCCCAGAGTTCATAGTCTCATTGACAAGTGACAACATACAAAAGACATGTTTTTTTTTGGTTTAAAAATTTGTATTGAAATATTCTTTTTGCCATGAAATTATATAATGTTTTCAGTGCCTGTGTTCACGTGCTGAATATTTAATCAATGGGATACTTTTAAAAAATATAAAAGACGGCAGTGGAGTGGTCCTCAATGGTTTGTATGCATTGACCTTGCAGGAAAGGGATTAGAGTCGAGGAAATGTTAAACGAGATAAGAGCCGCCTTGCGCAAATGCCGAGATAGTAAGGAAGCTCTGGAGCCGGAGCTTCCAACGGCAGGGACAACATCAAATACCATGATTTCAGGAAAGCGTAAGACTCCGCTGGAACCAGTGATTTAGGTATGCCCCCTCACATATGTTTCAAATTACCAGCATTCATAGGCAGCAGTAGCTGCAGCTGCAAACAAGATTTTGAGACTAAAATGTAGAATATGTTACTCCTATCAAATTTTGTATATGACTACTTGTAATGTATAATTACTCTTCATATTCATTTTTTTTGAGTGACGAGGAAACTCACAGTCATTAAACTCTGTTCACTCTGTTCTTGTGAGTGACGAGGAAACTTGCAGTCACTCTTTCTGATACAAAAATTTGTACTACCAATTCGGTCACTCCTTTTAGGATTACTCTTTGTTGAGCCATGCAATCCAACTATCAGCTTAGGCTTTTAGTTGAGATGGAGCACACGCTTCAATTCTCTTCATATTCATTAGTTATCGAATAAATTAGATGATGATATGAAGTAGTAGAGGATTTGAAGTTAATAAATGATAGATGGTTGGTTGGTCCGGTGAGTGTGAATGCGGGCGGGAGGATTCAGAAATCTGTTAAGAATGGTCTGTCATGTTGTGCCTTGTTTTTCTCCGGTCAAGGCAGTTGAGGATAACGCGCGTCATGCTGACCTCATACACCAAGTGTACCTAGACTCAATTCTCAAATCTCAACTCTCTCACGTCTGTTAAGTTTGCCATGGAAGCCCACGTGTTCTCTCTTTGTCACTACCCAACCTACTTTCCCCTCCCTTACTCCCGCCCTCATGTACTTATCCTTTCCATTAATAATGATAATAATACTATTATTATTGTTGTTTTCCTCCGACGTTTTTACCTTTGTAGTTAGGTCATATGATTTATCAAGTGAAATTACAATGATTTAAAATAATATAGAACGATATTTTTGTAAGTTCTAGAGTTAGTCATAGCGTGCAACGTCGGTGTAAGTCTGAAGACTAGTAATAAATTTTAACAAAACTATAAGATGAACGGAGTTAGCCATAGCGTGCAGCGTCGGTGTAATTCTGAAGACTAGTAATAAATTTTAAAAAAACTATAAGATGAACGGAAAAACGCCACTTATGACGTAACATACTAAAAGTGATCAAACTTAAGGACTAAGTTTACTACTGAATTCTAGAGCTCAAGATTCGGAGTTCAATTTGAGAATAAGAAGAGGATAAAAGGTGAGGCAATTCCATTTTTGACGCCGATCCCTCTCATCCTCATCTACTCACTAGGTGAAATTACAATGATTTGAAATAATATAGAACGATATTTTCTATATCTATATATTTTTTTGCCACTAAATTCTAGAGTTGGCCCTGGCGTGCAACGTCGGTGTAAGTCTCAAAACTGGTAATAAATTTCAACAAAATTATAAGATGAACGAAAAACGTCACTTATGACGTAACATACTAAATGCGATAAAACTTAACGACTAAGTTTACCATTGAATTCTAGAGCTCGAGATCTGACGTAACAGCGTAAATATGATAAAATTTAGGGCCTAAGCATGCTATTATCAAAAAATTGGAGGATGAAAAGTAGAGAATTTGTAATGTAGGAAAATCATATTTAGTTGATTCATCAAATTAAAGAAGAGAAAACGTATTGTAGTCCATGTCCATGCACGAAGAAGAAGAAATAGCGGATTGGAGTTATTACGTATTGCCAAGTAGACCATGCATCCTACACACCCCTCCAAGCTGACACGTAGCCTTGCCACTCTGCCATCTCATCATTGCACACGTCTTCCTCTCTCCCTCACTGCCTATAAATCCACTCCACTCTCTTCTTCTCACTCAATCTCCATGCATACATTACTCTTCGATAGATATATAGAAATGGCGAACGGCAGTGGCAGCGCGGCGGCGGGTGGCGGATCCGGCGACCAACAGCCTCCGTCGTCGCGGCGGCACAACCCGCGGGCCGTCAGCCGGAAAGGCTGCATGAGGGGAAAAGGAGGCCCGGAGAACGCTAGCTGTACTTATAAAGGCGTTCGCCAGCGGACTTGGGGGAAATGGGTTTGCGAGATTCGCGAGCCGAACCGCGGCTCGCGTATCTGGCTTGGGACTTACGAAAACTCGTATGACGCCGCCGTGGCGTACGACGCTGCGGCTCGTTACATCTTCGGCGCCAAAGCCAAGCTCAACCTCCCCCATCTCTGGGAGAACGAGCCCCCGCCGCCCAGCCTCGGCGTCGGCTCGAGCTATCCCTTTCCCAGGCTCAATAACCCCAGCCAGCTGCTGCCATCCCCTGAAACCTGCGCTGACGGGAGCGGCGGCTCAACGGTCCCCGCGGCTTACGGAAACTGCGCCTCATCATCAACCAGCTCGGCTCATCACCAAAACGCTTCCATTTTCAACGGCGATAACAGCTCTGTCATCTCTCCCGCCGCTCCACCACCGCTCCAGAACATTAAGCTCCCGAAACTTGACATGAACGAGAAGGCGCCGGAAAATGAGGTGGAGGGAATGTGGGGGACCTTCAACCTGAACGGCTTACCGGAGATTGACGACTCGTCAATGTGGGCGGAGGCGACCGCCACCAGCGACATTCAGGCCGCCGTGACTGACCCTGGGATTTTCGACGGGAAGATGTGGACTGCCGTGGACTACCCCTGGTACCCCTGAAAATCAAGCACTAATTAGTGTTTTTTTCAATGGAGCGGGGTGTGGGGCGTTATATATGGAGTATATTATTATAATTAATATAATGAATATTCAATCTATTTATTAAAAAAAAAAAAAAAGAAAAAGAAGAAGATGTGCAGTAGTAATATTCAATATCATGTAGAAAGATCATAAATGTAAACTATAATATATAGGGTTAAGTGTGAAATAAGCCCTTTAATTATATTTAAATGTGTAATATAATTAAGCTTTTATCGTGATATTCTGGACCATTATCAACTACCGATTTTTCTGAAGAATGACGACCTTCCCGAATATGGCGTCACTTCCTTCTTCCACATTAGGAAGAAGGTCGCCGATGCGGCGTTGCCTTCTTCTAGATCTGGAAGAAGGCAAATATGATCATCTTCCAAACTTGGAAGAAGGCTAGCATGACCTTCTTCCAAATAGGCACCACAACCTTCTTCCTCGAAGAAGGTTCCAAGAAGAAAGTTGTGATGACCTTCTTCCAAACATGGAAGAAGGCCATTACTACCTTCTTCTAGATGGAAGAAGGAAGCAGGGGCCTTCTCCCAGAATTGGAAGAAGATCACGCTAGTCTACTTCCAGATCTGGAAGAAGACAAAGGGGGCAGTTTTTTCCAAAATTAGAAGAAGATCACGTCAACCGTCTTCCAGATCTAGAAGAAAGCGGTGCTTTTGCGGTGACCTTCTTCCAAATGTTAAAGAAGGTCGCGACGCCATCTTTGGGAAGAAGGTCGCTATTCTTCGAAAAAAAAATGGTTGTCGATGTGGTAAAAAACGTCACGATGTCATCCTCCAGGAAGAAGTGGTGGTAGTCCACAACGAACAACATTAAATATAAAATTTGACTTGCTGATGTACTTCCGTTACTTTCTTCCGTTTGCGTTGTCTAAAGTAGGATAGAATAGTAATTTGCCTTAAAACAAAATATTCTGAAACTAAAAATCCCAAATTAGCGTATGAAATGTAAAAATCCTAGACTCGCCGCTCTTCTCCAAATGCGACGCGAGACACCGCAGCTCTCCTCGGAAGCACACACCGGTCTCCATCTTGACGAGCCCCTGTTTGAGAATGGTCGCGATTGGCCTCACTATCGGAGTGGATTAGTGAAGAGAGAAATTGCAACGACGTCGGTGGTTGATTGCTAGTCTCCAGTCGTGTAATCGCTGAGGGGAGAATCGAGAATCTAGTGTTGCGCAATTCTTCAAGGCAGTTGGATTGCCACTCGTCAGTTTCAGGAAGCTCCGGGGGAGGGTCACCCGTCACCATGATCGTCTCGGGAAGGCGGAGACGACCACCGCCTGCCAACGTCAAAAAAGAAAATCGAAGATGGATTGGGGAAAATCGTCGATATGGGCACTTCATTGGTTGCAATCATATTACTGGGAGCCTAAAAAAAGTGATATTCAGAGCGGTCAACCCACCAAACTTCATAAGGAAACAAGGGACATATTAAAATCAATAAATGAATTCGATTATTGTTTGAAAGAAAAGCAAATTGCCAGATATCTTTCACTCCAGATGTGTATTCTGTCATTGTCTATTTCTCTGACCCTCACTGCCGGCCACCATCATCAGAAAGCGGTCGCCGCAGGGTGGTGCTCCGGCATGCCTCTGTTGCTACGTTCGTCTATGAAACAGAGGTCGCCGGTGAACCGTCATTGGAGCGTATCTCTTTCTTCTCCATAGCAACTGTGGACGCCTTCATAGCGTTCGTCGACAGAGGAGACCGCTCCAAAATAGAGAAAGATTTTTTTTTTTTTTTTTTTTTGCTTTGTTTTTGCTAAGTCCACAATTAGAGTCATGTGTTGTCGCTTTCAACATGTCTGCTTTGCGGTGTGAACATATCCATAAACATTTATGTTTTTGTTTGCTTTGCCGTGTTGTCAGCTGTGGATGTATATAATTACTATTATATCCCTGCTTTAGACGACGCAGACGAAACAAAGTAACGGGAGGACAAAAGCTGGTCAAATTTTGAAATTTGGAAAACCACAGATGGCATTACGAAAGTTTAGGACTATATGTGGCTAAACCACCAAACTCGAGGGACCTTGGCTGGTATTTTTATTTATTTATTTATTTATTTATTTATTTATTTATTTATTTATTATTATTATTATTATTATTATTATTATTTTTAATTAGTTAATTGCCAAGCACCTTGTGCTTAGATGACACCTTTGTAGCTCTCCTTGAGGGAAGGTCACAAGATCAAACACCAGTGGTGGGGTCTTGACTAGTTGCAGGCGAACACACCAACGACGGAGGAGAAGAGGTGGGGGGGAGGGGCAACGAGGAAAAAAAAAAAGCAAAAAAATGTATTTGCTTTTCATGTGCCCAAATGGCAGGTGCACTACATGTGCTTACTGTGTGCGACAGGTAAAGCTTACGAGGAACTAGTCAAGACGAGGGGGGGGGGGGGGGGGGGGCAACGAGTAAAAAAAAAAAAGCAAAAAAATGTATTTGCTTTTCATGTGCCCAAATGGCAGCGCGTGCACTACATGTGCTTACTGTGTGCGACAGGTAAAGCTTACGCACACCTGCAATGAGTCAGCTTCTTAGAAGAAGATGTACAGTTGTAATATTCAATATCATGTAAAAAGATTATAAATGTAAACTATAATATATAGGGTTAAGTGTCAAATAAGTCCTCCAACTATACTCAAATATGCAATTAAGTCTTTATCGTAACGTTTTTCTTTATCGTAACGTTTTGAACCATCATCAATCATCGATTTTTCTGAAAAATGGCTACCTTCCCGAGAATGGCGTCATAGCCTTCTTCTACATTTGGAAGAAGGTCGCCGATGCGGCGTTGCCTTCTAGATTTGAAAGAAGATAGACATTACCATCTTCCAAACCTAGAAGGAGGCTAGGAGATAAACTTTCTCTATATAAATCTTGACAAAGATGTAACGTCTTTGTTTGATTTAGTGGTTCATCTCCTTCTGATATGGACGGGGATTTTGCATTTGTCCAATGTTATTACCATGGCATTATTTGACTTGTATATTAATGTTAACTATTCAAACTATGATTGTATAGAATTTATGTGTGCATCATATGTGCATTATATGTGTGTAAGGGTCAATTGATTAAAATCGTCTTTCAATTACTGTAGAAATGAAATTTCTCTATAATAAATATACATATTATGTATTCAAACAATGATTACATAAAATGCACGTGTGCATTATACGTGCAATATATGTGTGAGGGTCAAGGACTCAAGGGGATGGGGAGAGAGAGAAATTCGTTTACTTCATTTCTCTATTTTTCCATTTCTAATTTTTCATTTCTTCAGTTTTCCTTCTTCATTCTTCCAGTTTTCCATTTCTCCATTTCTCCAATTTTTCATTTTTCTAATTTTATTAAATACAATCATCATATATAGCATTTGTACATTTATACAACAAATAATAATTATAATAATAATACGAATTTAATAATAATAACAACAACAATAACAACAACAACAACAATAATAATAATAACAATAGGAATTTAATAATAATAATAATAATAATAATAATAATAATAATAATAATAATAATAATAATAATAATAATAATAATAAGTAGTGAAGAAGAGGCGAAGTAGTCTGAAAAGAAACAAAGCATCAAAATGTGAAGTAGAGAAGTGAGTAGGAATCAAACCTAGGTACTGCTCACGCATGTTATCTCCAACCTTCCATTTCGAGAAATTGGTTTTGGTATTCTCCAAATTACTTAAGAAAGTAGGAGATTGAAGAAGGAGTAAGCATTTGAAAGAAGAAATTTAGTAAACAATTTCTCTAATTTTTTATTATTTTTTATTTTAGCCCTTCAATTGCTGCTGAAAGCGTTTGCATTTGCACTCCTTCAAGATTTGAAGCGTTTGCAGCAACAAGGGAATGGCGTGCGACGGAATTCTTTTGGGGATGGGGAAATCCACTCCTCGATATTTCTGCTGTCGTCGACAATGATTTCTTGAACAAGTACGATGTCAAGTTGAACAATGCAATTCTTGCCGATGAAAAACATGTGCCTACTATGTATGAAGAAATGACATCTAAGTATACTGTTGAGTATATTGCTGGAGGTGCAACTCAAAATTCAATCAGAGTTGCCCAGTGGATGCTTCAAAAACCGGGTGTCACCCGTTACATGGGTTGCATTGGAAAGGACAAGTTTGGGGAGGAAATGAAGAAAAATGCAAAAGAAGTTGGTGTTAATTATGAGCATGAGACTACCCCAACTGGTACTTGTGCTGTTTGTTTGCTCGATGGTGAAAGGTCACTCATTGCCAACTTGTTGACTGCAAATTGCTAGCTACAAGTCTGAACATTTGAGAAAACCAGAAAATTGGGTGTTAGTCGAGAAGGCCAAGTACTACTACATTGCTGGATTTTTCCTCATTGTTTCCCCGGAATCCATTCAGCTTGTTGTTGAGCATGCAGCTGCCAACAACAAGGTGTTCATGATGAACCTTTCCGCTCCATTCATTTGTGAGTTTTTCAAGGAAGTCCAAGCGAAGGCTTTGTCGTCTTTGGAAATGAGACAAAAGCAAGAACCTTCTCAAAAGTTCATGGTTGGGAGACCGATAATGTTGAAGAAATAGCTTTGAAAATCTCTCAGTGGCCTAAGGCATCGGGAACACACAAGAGAATCACTGTTATTACTCAGGGTGCTGATCCTGTTGTTGTAGCTGAGGACGGGAAAGTAAAGTTGTATCCTGTGATAATGTTGCCGAAAGAGAAACTTGTTGACACTAATGGTGGAGGTGATGCATTTATCGGGGGATTCCTGTCACAATTGGTCCAGGAAAAACCGATTGCAAAGTGCGTTTGAGCAGGTTGCTATGGAGCAAATGTGATCATTCAGAGGCCTGGCTGCACATACCCCGAAGCAAGCTAGTAGCATGTTAAAAAAAAAAAAAAAAAAAAAAAAAACTTCAATTTTTATTTTTTCCACTTCTCAATTTTTTCATTTTTCTAAAAAATCCTCCATTTTTTCAAGTTGGTAAACGACCCCTGAATTTCTCTTATAATAGATATACATACTAATATTAGGCATTCAAACAATGATTATAAAGAATGCACGTGTGCATTATACGTGCAATATATGTGTTAGGGCTAATTGGTAAACTAAGTTTTTCAATTATTATCAAAAGACTTATTTAACCTTAGTAGTCGGGGGAGGGGGAATTGAAATTTCTCTATGTATATTAATATTAGGTTTTCAACCTATGATTACATATTTACATAGAATACATGTATGCATCATATGTGCTTTATACGTGTGTAAGGGTCAATTGATCACATCTTTAATTTATTATCAAAAAAGTAAATAACACAACAATTTTCAGTAATACACAGTAAATTCTTCATCAATGTACAATAATTATTATAGCACCGCGACTAATACACGATGCACCACATCTACTACATGAATACACGGTACAAACCCAGCCATGAGAATCGTATTGTGCACTGATGTATAATTTACCATGCATGACTGAAGAAGTCTACATGTGCTCACATCATCACATTTGCAATTCATTACACATCACATATAATAATAGTAATAATAATAATAATAATAATAATAATAATCTCTACCAAAAAATAATAATAATAATAATAATAATAATAATAATAATAATAATAATAATAATACACAATTCTAACATAAGACTTAATAATAACCACAATGGATAGTGACATAACAATAGTGAATGGGGATGAACAAGGCACTGAGAAAGCATTTTGCAAAACAGTGCAGACATTTCGCACTTCAAACCAGGTTGTTTTTAACTTAGTATTTGTGCCAGTTTTTTAGGATAGACTTAAGAAAAGAGCTTAAAAGGCTTTTTAAAAAGTTCTGCTTTGAGCTTATTATCTTCAAAAGCTATTTCAAGGGATTTATATCATAATAAAATCACAAATGGCTTTTCAAAGGCATCTTCAAATGGCAAGTACATATGAACTGTTTTGAGCTGATTAAAAAAGTCCTTATCCTAGTAGTGTTAAACCATACACAGTAATTAGAGAACAAACAAACAAACAAAATAACAAGGATGCTATTGCCTGAGGAAGATTGCAATTATACTCAAGCATGAAAGTTTAACCTAGGACTACTTTAAAAAAAAATAAAAATAAAAACAACTACTGAAATTTCAAGCTAGTCAGCTGAGGAATGAGATGGTTATTGATGCACAAAGAAAGCTGCTATTCTACCAGTCTATGACAGGAAAATCAGATTCATGGAGAACTCACCAGAGTCACGCAAGTTCATGGCAAATCATTTTCCGACAGAAAATAGGGAAAAGCAACCTTCTGAACCATAGTCAAGAAGCAATTTACTGCTAGTAAAATAGGCGCATGCTCATCACGAAATCAATTTGTTGTGGAAAATATAACTAATACTCAAAATTCCTCCTTTTCACCTATAATAATCTCAGAATGCACAATTAGCTCTTGCACAAAAGCAATGATTCTTTGTCAGAGTGATTTTAGCTTATTGATCATCAAAACTCTCTAGAATCGGAATTACAAAGTCATCATCTGCACTGCTACTTCTGTTTTCAGTGGCTTTAACATTATCGATGTCATCCTTCACTTCCCTTTGTAATTTCAATTCTCTAGTGTTACGGCTTCCCATCAACATAAGCTCCAACACTTTTCTTCTTACATCATAGACTGGGTTTGGCTCTATCAAGGACCCTTTACTATATGCTTCTCTAAGATAAACAAGTTGGGTATTTCCCTTGGTGGATATGTAAAAAATTCCTGGGTGCTTCAAAAGCAATTCTCGGATATTAACTTCAATTCCAAGGTCCTTGCGGAAATGAACCAACCTCTCAACTGGGACCATCTTCTCTATGGTCAAGCTCAAAAGTTCATGAATAATTCCCACAGCTCGTTTCTCATACCGTTCCACCCCTCCACAAGTACGCAACTTAACAACCTCCATTCTCTCATAAGGCTTAACATAGGAAAGCCTTTGCCAATTCCTCAATTTCTCCCGAAAACCCGGTGCTTTCATAAAACCTGTTGGGAAATTTATGGGAAAAGCATATTTGACCTCAAATTCACTTAACCATCGGTCTGTATACTCCTTCTCCCTCCACTTTTCAACCTCAGCACCCAAACATGGACTCCTAGTGTCCCTGTCAACCAATTCCACAATCTCTAAATCCACCATTTTAAATTCCGTTTCAAACTTTCTAATTATTGATTCTCGAAAATTTTCAGGCAAACCCAATTCATTTCGAATCATTCTAAGAGCATGCAAATGAAGGGTGCCATTCACAGACATGAGCAAAAGCTTCTTTATTCGTATAACAGCTTCTTCTTCGAGTTGAGCGATTATATCTTCTTCTTCTCTTATTAGTCCCACAAATTTCGAAGTAAACCTGCAGCATCGGTTATGCTTGGCAGGGTGCGTAAATACCTCAAAAACATGAGGGTATTTCCTTAGGAGAGCTCCAGCGGTTAGGGTTTTTATGCCAGCATGCGGTGCCCACTTAGAGAGGGACTGTACGGAGATGAAATGGCCACGTTTTTTGGCAGAGACGAGGCGATGGAGGTTGAGGATGAGATTGAGTTGGCAGTGCTGGGCTGTAATACGGTCGAGCTTCAAGTCTCTGATGCGATTCTCAAGGCGGGTTTGAGCAGTATCCGCTGGCTTCTTCCATCGAATTTGAGTGGCAGAGTTGAATGGCCCAAATGAAAGTGGAGATGTATTTGAGGTGTTTTTCCTACTGCTGATTACAAGCAGTCTCTGTAGGATTTTCATTCTCCTCTGCCACAGGAGGGGGCCACACCAGTACGAGGTTGAATTGCAAATCACACTTGGTGGCAGCAGCTGCAGATTTGTTCACCATATACCATATGTACACCATACCTCTTTCACAAACGAACAAACAATAGAAGCATCGATCTCAGGATAAGATGACAATACTATACAATATATTAGTGTCTGATGAAACATAAAATGAGAGTAAATAACATGATCGAAATAAAACTCAAGAAGCACACTCTACTAAATTTCCACTCTGATTTTCAACCACAACTATGAACTATGAAGACCGTAAAAATATTCAATCAAATTCATAAATCATAAAATAGACCAGGTTTCTGAGACTGTAGTACTGCACTCACCACAATATTCGGATGTTAGAGATTCTTCAGTAAATTCACTTCTTCCTCGAGCTCTCGAATATGAACCTAAATATTTCCAACACATAGATTCAGTAATTTTACAAATTGAATTGCTCAACAGTTAACAGGAAGATTATCCCCTCAAATTATAGCTTATCTACGCATATCAAACTCAAAAATGAATTGCTCAACAGTTTACATGAAGATTAGCAGTGATGTTGAGGATTCTGGAGTTCCTCTGGGGTTTTGAATGATTTCCAGTATTTGGATTCAGGAGTTGACGTAGACTTGAGAGTAGTAGGTTTGAGCTTAGGCTTCACAGGGAAAGTTCTGTCATCCACCATGGCGGCTGCGATAATCGAAAGCTTCGGCCCCCTGAGCATAAACAAAACACTGTATTAATGTGGTAATCTTATACCAAACAGTTCAAACTGTGACGCAATTTGTGATTTTCCGTTAAAATACGCTGCTAATTTTAAGAAGATGATCGGACCTGGTTCCGTCGGCTTTGATCGTCACCGAAGGTGTATGAGCGGCGGCAGGGGATCACTTCATTTTGGTTGAGTACCGGGCCAGCGGCCCACTAAGGAGTTCAGTGGTAATGGGGGCCCAATAGACACTGGAAGATCCAACCCAAATGTCTTTGGATAATTAATACGCAAATTATGCTGTGCAACCGTGTGCACCATTGCAAAAACGACGTTGTTTTGACAAAAAACGAGCGTCTCACTTTTTTTTTTTTTTTTTTTTTTTTTTTAAATCAGGTTCAATTCCCGCCAATAGTATTTTTTTTGTGCATAATTTGAATTATATATCCACAAATTCATAACTATATATCCACAGTGAATGAATAACACAAAATCCAGAATGAATGAACTAAATATCCACAATGAATGAACTGAATATCCACAATGAATGAACTGAATATTCATAAATTCATAACAATATATCCACAAATTCATAACTATATATCCACAAATTCATAACTATATATCCACAATAATGCTGTTGAGAGGAATCGAAACTGATTTTTTTTTTTTAAATGGAACATGCGTTTTTAGTCAAAACGACGCCGTTTTAAAACCTTGTGCACCATGCATGGTGCACACTGTTGCACAACATAACTATTGTAATTAATACTCCAGTATGTAGAATTGTAGATTTACTAGACATCATATCTACTATCTACTATACTAATAAGAGCCCAAGAGAGTTAGGCCTATAATGGGTAGAAAAAATGGCGGTTAAATTTTTTAATCAAATGAATGGCTTAGATTGATCAGAATTTTAATTTTTCCTTCATATTTTCTATTTTATCCTTAATGAATATGATTATCCGTTAACTTTTCCGTTAAATATTATCTTTTCCGTTAATTTCTGTTAGTTCACCATTAACTTACTCATTGATTTCAATAAGAAAGGTCTTAGGTTCGAACCACATCTCAATCAAAGTTGACATAATTAGTACTTTATTTTACTCTTATTAAATTAAAAATAATAATTCAGTAGCTACAACAAAAAATAATACATATACATTTATTTAATTTATAATTATGTGTGTACAATATCTTTATTAAAAAAAATTATTCATTATCAATAAATTGAATATGAGAAATAATTTCAATTAGTTAAATTGTCTTTATTTTCTCCAATATAAAAATTATTTACATTCAAATTCATCAATTGATTATATTCACTACATGGTCCCTACAATGTCTTTATTAAAAAAAATATTCATTATCAATAAATTAATTAAGATAAATAATTTTATTAGGTATATTGTCTTTATTTTTCTCTAATATAAAAATTCTTTACATTCAAATTCATCAATTGATTATATTCACTACATTGTCTATTGTCTTTTTTTCTGAAATATTTTTTAATTAAATATCAAAGTTACAATACAAAATAATGATATATATTTATTTAACAAGTATTTCATTAATACCATGAAAAAGTTAAAAATATATATATATATAATTAATAAAGTCAATCATATTAACTACTTAGGGATTTGTTGACAAAGAGAGTATTCAAATCACACAACAAATTGAAGTGAGAAACTATCTCGCAATGTCCTTGTTTGACAATCAGCAGCGTTAGCGGATTATATTAGTGGATTTGACCAGCGAATTATGTCAACTGTTGGTTAAAAGATATTTGAAAAAAATAGCTGTTTAGATTAACATGTAAAATGACCTAAGGGTATAATAATAATAATAATAATAATAATAATAATAATAATAATAATAATAATAATAATAATAATAATAATAATAATAATAATAATAATAATAATAACAACAACAACAACAACAACAGCAACAACAGCAACAACAGCAACAACAACAACAACAACAATAACAATAACAATAACAATAACAATAACAATTATTTTTTAAAAAATAAAAAAAATAAAAAATATAATTAAGTCCATATTAACTACTTGGGGGAATTATTGACAAAAAGAGTATTCAAATCACACAACAAATTGAAGTGGGAAACTACCCCGCAATGTCCTTGTTTGGCAATCAGTAGTTAGCTCTTCAATATTAGTATATATTTAATATTTTATGCCCTAATTTTTATTTGCTCTCCATTATGTCCCGTGTTTGGTTTCAACCATACCTATACAATTATTTTATTGACAATTATAATCAATCTTGACTATACTATCTTGCATTTTTAAACTTAGAATTACCTATTTAAATACGTAAATTCAACATTCAATTATCTATGAATGAACAATTCTAATATAATCTTGTCTTGATATACTTTAAAGTACTTATTAAAAAAAAAACATTGGGCATTATCTCAATCGCGCAATGCGCGTAAAAAACTAGTAAATGTATAATGTGGTTGTAAGGTAGTAATTTATATCATGCACCACGGCGCACATAGCAATGTGCGCCCAGACACAAGACGTGCGCGTTTCATGCTGATGTCACTCCGTCCGTCCGAACACACCAGATCTCATTATGTGTATTCAGTTAAAAATTATGTGTATTGTGTTATGAGTTTATGTGCATTCAGTTAAGAATTTATGTGTATTATGTTAACTAAATCCCCCTTTCAAAAAAAAAAAAAAAAAAAAAAAACTAAATCCCATTAGTTGTATTCAGTTAAAAGTTTATGTGTATTGTGTTATGAGTTTATGTGTATTCAGTAAGAGTTTATGTGTATTATGTTAACCAAACCCCATTATGTGTATTCAGTTAAAAGTTTATGTGTATTATGTATTATGTGTATTCTGTTATGAGTTTATGTGCATTCGAACATGTGATTTTTTTTTTAACTTAACAAAACGATGTCGTTTTGGGAGGCACAGAGCGCACAATGCTATATGCGCCGTGGTGCACGGTATAACGATTGTTGTAATTAAGGTGAGGGATTAAAATCAATCCATTCCTTTGTGGCAAATTATGTTGTGGAATCGTGTCCACCTTGCCTTGCAAGGTGGACACGGTTCCAAAGTTATTCATAATTGTGATTATAGAGTTCAAAATTATGAACATAGAGTTCTATAATTATGAACATAGAGTTTTATAATTATGAATATAGAGTTCTGTAATCGTGAATATAAAGTTTAATAATTGTGAATATGGAGTTCAAAAATTATGAACATAGAGTTCTCACTACTTTAAGTGAGTTAATTCTCTTTCCAGTTCTCAATTTGGCTGGGAATATTGTTGGCTTGATAACCACAATATTTCAAATTCGACTATCAGTGAGTGATTTATTGATTTTTTTTTTGAACCCGTCAAAAATGACAATTTAGGCTACTTATCCTTTTTTTGTTAGGATTATAATGTGAGATATATTTAGTACATACCCACAAATAGTAACTACGAATTTCCTTCGACATTTAAAAAAAAAATAAGTTAGGATTGTCTAAGGATCTCTTCCGACACGACAAAAGAATCAATCCACCAATAGCATCATATGATGCATACCTGTGAACACATCCTTGGATCAGCAGCAGCAGGGTGACCAAGTTTAAGGATGCTTCTAGTTACACTAATGGAGCCTTCAATTATATGGATGCACGAAATAATGTAGTGTTAATTATTCAATTACAAATCAAAATAATTAATGATAATAAGAAGATGTATAATGGACAAACCAAATTTAATAATGACCAAAATTATTGATCATTAGTGGTCGCAGTAGGGCATAGCCACTTCCACTGCACGACTATGACTCAAGTAGGCATGCTTTTTAGCAGTACAACCTTTAAGCTACTTTTAATCACTAGACTTAGTCCTTTTCATTATTCCTCTTCTTTTTTTTCTTTTCGAAATAAAAGTTCATTATTCCTAATGCATGCACCGTTTTCACATTTTACTTGGATTTTTATTTTTTTTTTAAAGAAAAAAATTCCTTTGTTAGGTCGAATCAAGAAATATGATTCAACTTTTAATATTTTATTCTAAAATCATAAACTGATACTCAGTATTACTCAATTTTAAAGTTTTAGATTGTGCATGTGTATGAGCGCACAAAAATATATTAATTATAACAATTTTTAATTCAACAGTATCAAAAAAAGGCAAAAACTTGTATGACCCGTCTTCTGGGTCATTGTCTATGAGACAAGTCGAATTATAGACAACTATGTACCATAATTTCAGTTATACATATTACAATAGTTATTATTCGTAATAACGAAATTTATCCTAAATGGTATCATTATTTCACATATAAGTATTACAATATCTATCATAAATAATAATTTTTTTGATTCAAATTGGTATTAAATTTTGTACAATAAGTATTGCAATTTATTTCATAAGTAACATTCATATATAAATATTACAATATTTATATCATAATTACACTTTATAAATATCACAATTTCAATTATAAGTATTACAATATTTATCATTAGTAACAATAATTTTGTAATAACTATAATGAATGTTTTATTTTGATTTTATTTTCTTTAGATAGTTAACATTGAAAACTAATTTTTTAAACTTATTTTAAGGTTTTCAATTTTTTAAACTAAGTGTTATTTATGTTGGATTTTAAATGATTGTGAATTAGAAAAAAAAAAAAAGACGTACTCTTTAATCATATCATCTTGGGATCTGCCAAAATTACTTTTACATAACCCAATGGAATTATTTTTTTGAATTTGCACGTGTTATCTTTTAATTTTGAATCCTCTAATTCTCTAAAAAGATGTTTGGGAAACAATCTTTTTTGTCTTCTAAAAGAAAATATTAGAAAACAGGATGTTGGTCCTCTTTCATCATTGTTTACATTTATCACATAATTAATTAATATACAAATTATCAAGCACCTTGTGCTCAGATGATATGTAATGACATCTTCTATATGAGAGGTCATTAGATCAAGCCTCAATGGAGGTGTTGTTGACTCTTTGTGCTTTAATATACTTGAGAAAGTATGTTTGAATAGTTTCTACCATCTAATAGAGTCAATAGCATTCAAAAAAAAAAATAATATACGAATTATTTTATAAATAAATCGGTGCAATTTGAAATTATTTTATTCAATTTTTAAACTTAAATCTGTTTTAAAGGCCACAATAAATAATTGGAAAAATATGATCCTTTTGATATCTTATTTAGCAAAGGAATCAATGGTTATGTCTACTTTAATTTGTTACCTATTCAATTTCTTCCCTCCTTATTATCATTTCAAGAACAATAAATAAATAAATAAATAAATAAATATGACATTTTAGTTGGTTGCTAGCTATCATAGCATATATATATATATATATATATATTTTAAATATTCATGATTTTTTTACAATGTAGTATATGTTCTATACATTCTCTGACATTTTCAGCTCAAAGAATTTAAGCCCCACACACTACATGGTAATTGGCAGCATATATTTAATTTATTCCAATTATTTATGATATAAATTTAAAATTTTAAAAAGTTAAATTTTAACAAAGTGATAAATTTGAGCTATGTGACGGGGTCTCAATCAAAACACCGAGGACTAAATTAAAGAAATAACTTAAAAAAAAAAAGATTTTTTATACTATTGAATTACTGATATATAGTATGTACTCCGTATTTTGTATATGTATATAAGCATGTACTTGATAGCATTGGCACGCATCTATACAAAAAGTATATGATACAATAAAAAATAGATACCATTATACTTTGTTATTATCGTCTATTTTTATATTTAAAAAAAAGGGAGAATGACACTTTTTCTCCCTGAGATATATACTTATAGCACTTTTCTCCCCTTAATTATTTAAGTGACTGTTTTTCCCCCTGAAATGTTAAATAGACATATTTACCCTTAAAATAAATATTTCATTTATTTTTCATCTCCATCAAATTATGATCATAATTTGTTTCAAACCAAACAAACACTATAGCAACCAAACCGAAATATTTCAATTACAATTTAGAATCGAAACTCGATATTTAGAGTTTATCAAAATCGCGAACTAGAACGGACGGTTCATGTTCCGAACTGAAAAAAAAAATAAAATACATTTATTGTTGAAGTTAGACTATTTTAAAATAAAAAGTAAAATTTTAAAATAAAGACGGTTCAAAATCGCGAACCGGATCGGGAACCGCTGATTCAAGGTTTAGGATCCAATTTTTTTATTCATAATTTTAATAAATTGAAATCCAAATATTGGGTTCTCGATCTGAATCATAACCGGAAACTTTTAATTCGATTGCTATAGTGTCTGGTTCAGTTCAAACCGAACCGTGGTGATCCCTACGTATACGCAATAATTTGTTGGAGAAGTAGAATAAATAAAATGTTTACTTTAAGGGTAGAAATGTCAATTTAATATATTAGAGAGAAAAATTACTACTTTTAGAATAATTGAGGGAGTTAATGTGTTTACCTAAATAATTGAGAGGGAAAAAGTGCTATAAGTGTATAACTCAGGGGGAAAAAGTGTCATTTTCCCTTAAAAAAATGAAAAGAGTGACTAAATGTATTTAATGATTAATGTCATGCCACACCAACTAACATCGCACGTCCGATTGTGTTTTGGGGTAATGATGTAATGTGAAAAGTCAAGTTGCCGCTGGCATGTTTAGCAACATGTAATTATAAGTACGTGCAATATAATATAATTGTAATTGTGGGTCCATTAATTTCCACCACTTTTTTTCATAATTATGGGCACCATTTTGCTCATAATAATTCAGACCATAATATAATTTCACATTTATAAAGTACCAACATCAAAGATAATAATAATAATAGGCATGCATCATCACCATCACATTCTCATCACCTTAATCCCTTTCTTAAACCCACTCTCCTAATGAGAGAAAGTTGCTGATTTAAAAAAAAAAAAAAAAAAAAAAAAAAAAAAAAAAAACCTAAAAAAGGAAAAAGAAAAAAGGATCTTTTCATACAAACACACCAAGCAAATTAACAAAGCTTTTTTTTTTTTTTTTTAGGAGATATTCCAGCAAATATTGGTGCAAAAAGTGATGGTTTTGCTGGTCAAGCATTTTCCGTTGACTGCAGCAGTGGCTGAGACAGTGAGGACTTGATGATATGGCTGGCCGGCGCCCTGCTGTGGTCGCCGGCGGCCTGAATCACCGTCCCCGCCCTGGCAAACTTTGCTTCTTCGTTCTTCCCCCATAGCACAAAGTATAACCCTATTATGATCAGCACTGCTCCAATGATCCTGCATGCCCATTACAACCAAACAATATATAAGAAAAACTCGTGTAGTACTAATTAAGATTTCCCAGAATTTGAATCCTGAGAGAAACTCGCAGTCACTATTCCAGAATGTACACTGGATTAACCTCATCTTATGACTCTAGTCAATAAAATGACCATAAGGAGGTAAACTAACTTAGATTAATTGTTCGATCCATAACTGACTGTCTCAAACCAAGAAGATCAATAAATCGCCACTCATGTTGGGAGTACGTATAGTCGAACTTGTAAAGTTTGACCAATTGAAATGGAATTTGACATGGGAGCTAGGAGGGGGTGATGAAAATAGTGAAAGAACAAGATAAGGTAGTGGGGGCATGAATAAAATTCGATGTGGTATGTGGTGTAACTACTAGATCGATTTTTTTTTTTGTTGGGACATGGATTGTTGGGATGTCGTTGGTTGTTATTATGTAGTCCGTGTAGAATCAAAAAAGAACACAACAAATGTTGCATGCATGTATTGTGTCGTTGTGGGGGGATATCCTTTGTGGGACTGTCCGACATATTTTAGTTAGGACCAAACAAGAAGATTCAAAGCAATTCCTGCACCTCTTTTTTAAAACTTTACCACATATACCCATCATAGTTACTGATATCTTTTATATCGGGTACAATTATATATATGTATTTTGAGTTATATTAAGTATTATTAATCTCGTATAATCAGACATATTATTATAAAGATATCAAGACCAATTTGTAGTTTAGAAATTTTTGAATTATGAATTGAAAAGATAAATGGTTATACATACCCTCCCAAGTAGAACTCTTCCCCAAGAACCGCGGATGCCACGAGGGCGACAACAAGGGTCTGAACTGGCTGGTAAACTGCCACGAAGACCGGGCCGCCCCTGTCAATGCACCATATTTGTACTGCAAATGCTATCCCTGATGCCACCACTCCCTGCAATTCACATTATTTATTAGAAAAATACTATATGTACTCCCATTTTATACTCCAATTTTTACTCCCACATATAAAATCTTGATGTAGACGCTTGTATTAAGGCCCACAGAAAAAAAATAGCTTATCAGAGCCAGCCAGATGAGAATGGATTTGAAGTAGTAGTTTATGCATGCATGCTTACAGCGTAGAAGACGCTGAAGAGCTCGGCGCCGGAGTGGACGAGCCAGGCCTGAGGGTCTCTCTCGCAAAAAGCGGCGATGATGAGGAACTGAATGACGCCAAAGAAGCACTGGTAAGAGGTGACGGAGAGGCGGGCCGGGTACTTCTTCAGAACGGGGGCCTGCAGGACGAGCCAGCTGGCCCACGACAGGCAATGCCCGATCAAGAAGATGCACCCCATGGTCCAGCTCTTGCCGCTTCCGCCCACGTCGTCTCCCAGCCTAGCCCCACCGTGCAGCATCGCCGCCGGCGGAACTATCTGCAGCGACGGCGTCGGGCTGTAGATCGTCGGCCCCTTGTAGAGTGTGATCACTGATGCCCCACACACGCACAGCAATGTCCCCATCACCTTGCTTATCCCATCTTTTCTATTCAATCTCACCACTTCTATCCTGTAATTTCATCATATATATACACATTCATAATTTATTTTTTTAAAACAATACACTGAGTGAGCACATGCTTCAA